AGCTGGCAAAAAACATCAACGTATTCACAGTTCCTCACGAAATGTCAAAGTACACTTAAAAAAATATACTTAAGAACTCGAAACCCATCACACCCCCTAGGCATGTTTTAAAAACTATTTTAAGGTTCTTAAAATCGGCTTTAAGATTACGATAACATTTTTACTTACCAATTTTAGTAAGAAACTTTACTTTTATGCAAGTGTAAACACCTTGAGTGTAATTTTAAGGCTTGAGTTCTAACTAATTTTAAACACAATAACGCTCTCAATATATATATTTGAAATTTATTTTTAAATAGATTTTAATACTTGTTCAGCCAAATCTAAATTTCGCAAAAATCTCAGCGAAATTAAATTGCTTTTTCCATACAAAATTCAGTTTTAAGGTTAGAACAAAATTAAGGAAAATGGCCTTAATTTCGTTGAAACGAAGGGTGAAATTAAGGACATTTCAAATATAGTTGCGTAAGATAAATTTTAAGCAAAAGATAAAGTTTAGTTCGAAAGAGTGACATTTTTTTTAAATAAATGTTAGTAACAATTGACTTTAATAAAACCAGGAAAATATTTTGAAAATTGTGCAAATTTTTAAATTTGAATATAGAGAAAAAACTGTAATTCTTATTTATTTAAAATAGATTAGATAATAATAATTCACATATCTGAAATCCACTGAAGCTAGTAAATTTACTGAATGCAATGCTTCATAATTGAAATAATCCACTTTAAAATTTGCCAGATACAAATGGTTTTGGGGCAGTATGAACACATTTTGAATTAACTTAATTTCATGTTAACGTAATTAACATGATATTATTTTTATATTAATTTATATTTTTGTACATACATACATACACACAAATTATAGCCTTTTATTATACTCCTCTCAATAGGTTTTATCTAATAGCCTATTCATATAGTTGTAGTTTTTAATTTAATTTAGCTTGTTTCACTCGTTTTCTTCGATTACAGAATTACAGAATCAAATTAAAATTGCAAACTGATTCCATAAAAAAATTCGGGAACAAAATTTCGATTAAATTGTAATTACGAGCTATATTAAATTTATAATACAAATAGTATAATTTTATACTAAACTGTAGCACAACGAAAATTTAACTTTGCTGCAGCATTCGGCATTTTCATTTATAAGCGCAATTATAAAAAATAAAAGTGAGGAACAAAATTAAGATGCAAAAATAGTTTAATGTGTAAATATAGCTTTAACGGTGGTTTTTTTAGTCATAATTTTAGTGCTTCGATTAAATACTTTAAAAATTGAATTAAAAATAAAAATCACTTAGTCAGCTATGAGTATTATTAATATATTATTATAAATTTATATATATAAAATTTTAACAGTAAATAAGTACATAATTTCTTGGATTTCATTAAAAAAAAATATAATGGAACTATCAACAATTACCGTTATATAAATTAATAATTTTAATTATTAACTAAAACGTTTATGCTTATTTATTCAAATTAGTATCAAAAATTTTGGAAGTTTATCTTAAAAGTAAAGTGCAAATAAAATAGAGCTATAGTTATCGTTATTTCATTTTAAAAATTTTATTGTTATTTATTTAAATTATTGTTAAAAATTTTAAAGTGTATTACTTTGTACTGTACAAAAAAAAAGTATTATTTGTGCAAGCTGTAAAATTTTGACATATGGCGGCTTTGTAGAAATGCAACTAACTTCACAGTAAATGACTAGTGAAAAGTATTGTCGTTTATGAATTGCATTTTGTATAAAATATTAAATAGAAAATATTTAGGGTACGCAAATTAAATCCAAAGCCTTAAAAATATGGTAAATATAAATCGTTTTATATGCTTAATCAATATCGTATAAAAAGCATTGCTAATAAATATATAATTTTTATATCACAAATAGGGTCAAAACCAATCGGCGCAGGGCGGCTCTGGGGATAAAAAAGATGATAAAGATAAGAAAAAGAAATATGAACCACCAATTCCAACACGCGTGGGTAAGAAAAAAAGGCGTGCAAAGGGACCAGATGCTGCTATGAAACTGCCTCAAGTAACACCCCATACGCGTTGTCGTTTAAAATTACTCAAACTAGAACGAATCAAGGATTACTTAACACTGGAAGATGAGTTTATTAGGAATCAGGAACGTCTGAAACCCCAAGATGAGAAAAACGAGGAAGAACGTTCTAAGGTCGATGATTTACGGGGTACACCGATGTCGGTTGGCAATTTAGAGGAAATTATAGATGACAATCATGCAATTGTGTCAACATCTGTAGGGTCGGAGCATTATGTGAGCATACTTTCATTTGTTGATAAAGATCAACTAGAACCAGGCTGTTCAGTACTATTAAATCATAAAGTGCATGCTGTTGTTGGTGTATTGAGTGACGATACTGATCCCATGGTAACTGTAATGAAGCTGGAAAAGGCACCACAAGAAACTTACGCAGATATTGGTGGTTTAGATACACAAATTCAGGAAATAAAAGAATCAGTTGAACTGCCATTAACACATCCAGAATACTATGAAGAAATGGGTATTAAACCACCAAAGGGTGTTATTCTATATGGTCCACCTGGCACGGGAAAAACATTATTAGCTAAAGCAGTCGCCAACCAAACTTCTGCCACATTTTTACGTGTTGTTGGTTCGGAATTGATACAAAAGTATTTAGGCGATGGTCCAAAATTGGTACGCGAGCTATTTCGTGTAGCAGAGGAGCATGCGCCTTCCATTGTTTTCATTGATGAAATCGATGCGGTAGGAACAAAGCGATATGACTCGAATTCAGGCGGTGAACGAGAAATTCAACGTACTATGTTGGAATTACTAAATCAATTGGATGGTTTCGATTCACGCGGTGATGTGAAGGTATATTAATTAATGTTTATATAATCATTTTGAATAGGTATTATTATATTAAGGTATTAGTGGAGTATTTAATAGTCCTTTGTAGGTCAAAAAGTTCATATATAAATATGTATTGTGTGGTGTTTCCATCCAAGAGCACGAAAGAGATTTCAAGAGCGACTGGGTTTACTTTCTGGAACTACATATCTTCAGAGACGATCAAGTGTAGGTCGTCTCTGGAAAAAAAAGTGCCGGAGGTCTTTATTATCACAGCATATGTTTTCTTTATTCCACTCTTCTTAGAAAAAACAAAATAACCATATTTTACAAACTATCATTTAAAGTATATTTATAACGCCATTGCTGTGAATTTCACGAGGATGTAGTTAAGTCATATAGACGTGAGAATTTGTGAGCGGAGAGAAAAAAGCAAATTTTATTTAGATACAGGATAAGTATCCTGTCTCAGCATGGGCCATTTTCGGCCTGTCCATCGTAGAAGGATCACCTTAAAGATTAAATTTATTGTCCGAAAAACGTGCCTTTGAGAGGGCCGGACTCCACTTATATATAGCTAACATTGTTATAAATTATTCTATAATCTAATCTGATACTATAAAAAGTTTGGGTATTTTGAGTATAGATATCAAGGAATAGCTTATATAGGAATAGGTTTTGGGTTAGTAAGTTCTTTTAATATATTTATTTCAGATGTTAGATTTAGGTCCTTTTAGTTAGATTATGTTAGAGGTTAGATTAAAGGTTCTATTATATATAAAAAGGTTCGAGAAAGGTTATATTCGAGAGAGAAGTTAGTAAGTTCTTTTAATAAATTTATTTCAGATGTTAGATTTAGGTCCTTTTAGTTAGATTATATTAGAGGTTAGATTAAAGGTTATATTATATATAAAAAGGTTTTATTATATATATAAAGGTTCTATTATATATATAAAGGTTATTTTATATATAAAGGTTTTATTATATATATAAAGGTTTATATTGAAATTTTTAAAATATTTTAAGCGTTCCATGAAGAGATTTGAAAACATAATTAAATATATTTTTTTTTCCATTTTTCTTTAGGTCATTATGGCAACAAATCGAATTGAAACACTGGATCCTGCACTGATACGTCCCGGTCGTATTGATCGTAAAATAGAATTTCCACTTCCTGATGAAAAAACTAAACGTAGAATATTTACCATACACACATCTCGTATGACACTTGCTGAAGATGTTAATCTTAGTGAATTAATTATGGCTAAGGATGATCTTTCCGGTGCAGATATCAAGGCAATTTGTACTGAAGCCGGTTTAATGGCATTACGCGAGCGTCGTATGAAAGTAACAAATGAGGATTTCAAAAAATCCAAGGAGAGTGTGTTGTATCGAAAGAAAGAAGGTACACCTGAAGGTTTATATTTATAAAAAAACAAAAACTAAAACAAAAAAAATTTCGACGCAAAAGTAATAATTTTAAACAAATTTAATAATTATTTAATATAAATTAGTTATTTTGTGTATACAAGAAATTACCATCCGCCACTAATAAATTTGTAGCCAATGGCAACTTCAATTCAAACTCATCTAATTTTTTTCTTATATATTTATGTTGTCTTCTGGACATTTGCTCCAAACTTAAATCTTTAAATTGATCGCTTTGATAATGTGTTTTGTCCATAGGAGCAGGTACTTCCAATTTTTCATAAACCTTATGCTCATCTGTTAGTGCTGTATTTTCTTTTTTCTTGGAATTCATTGTGGCATAGAATGTTTTGTATTTTGCCAAGTGAAAGCCCGTAAGTAAGCCATCAGTAAAACCATGTCTGAAACCCTTTTCCACGCCTGCGTCGTTTCCGTCGCTCTTACCGTCAGCATAACCAAGCTTAAAGTAGAAATAATATTTTTTAATTATAACATTGGAAGAATTGGAAGATAAATTCATTATAATAATATATAAAAACTATAATATATTAGAATTATAATATAATAACATATAATAATAATTATAATATAATAATACATAATAATAATATAATAATTATAATATAACAATTATAATATAATAATATATAATAATTATAATATAATAATGAAAAAAATGGTTTTTCGCAAAAGTAGAAAAATCATTTTAAAGATAAACTGATTGTATATTCTTCGTTGTAATTATTTAAAACATTTGTCAAAAAAATTTTTTCAAATTTTATTCTATTCAGTTGTTTTTAAAAAAAACTTTTTCCCTGATGATGGTTTTAAACAACCGAAACGTCGAAAATATATATTAAATAAATAAAATAATAAAAAAATTTTTATTAAATATTTAATGCTTCTGAATTATGTAGATAAGTATGAAGTGGAAAGAGGGCAATAGGCAATCCTATAATAATATATTTCTTTATAAAATTGGCGAAAAAGGAGCTTATGAAATGCATTGATAAATCCAAATATTGTAAACGAGTTGAAAAATAGAGCTCCAAAATATTTAAGTCTCTAAAATATAATATATCTTATATTTTTTTATTTTATTGTTGTTTATTCAGTGATTTAAAAGTTTATAAGAAAAATAAATAAACCATCGATCGGATTATTATATTATTTATTTTATAAACTTGGTATTTAATTAATTAATAATAAAATTGATCAATATTGACAGCACTTATACTTTGTATTTCTGATACAATTTAGTCCACTTTTAAGAAATTAAGTAATAATAACTGTTATTTAGTGTTGTGTATTCCAATTAATTTAGCGGAATTTATTTTATAATTGTATTTACTAGAACCAAAACTTTAATTAAATATGTAAGACAACGAAGGTGGAGTTAAATATTTATCTTTCACTAATGTAAATGTATTTTAAGTATATATTTTATTTAATTAAATTTTATATTTAACACAATTTAGTTCGATAATAATATTATAATAAACTTTGCATAAAAAAAATTTATAATTTTATTTTTAATCAAGTGAGTAACGATTATTTTAAAATTAAATATATTTAAATAAATATCAGTGTTCCCCACTGCACTTCGCTTCTTATCTTTGACACTTTCATAATTTGGCAACTCTACACAAATAACAAATGTGAATTTCTAGTAGTGCTGTTCGTGTGGTTATTGTACATAATAAATGATAATAAATTAAATAAAATATTAAATTACCTTAGTTATTTTATTTTCAATTTTTTTATAACTAATTGCTTCAACATCGTAAGTTTCACTTTCACTATCGAAATCGAAGGTAAGAGACATAATTTAATATTACAAGCGGTGTGCGTACAAACTCATTCACTAGTGTTTATGACATTTGTTTTTATAATTCACATTGAGTAGAATTGTTTTTGTTTACAAACAGGGTGATCATATGCTTTTAAATTGTAACGATTAGAAAAATGTGTAAACAAATTTATTTATTAGTTAATTGATTTACTTAAAAACAAATATATATTGAATAACATTTTCGTATTACAATCGCATTTGAAAAAGAAATATACAAAATTAGAAAATAGATTTTTTTAAAATTGTGAATCGTAGCCTTAAACTAATTAATTTTTAGTGTACAATTTTTATATTTTATATTGTATACAACACAACAAAAAACGTCAAAAATAAGCATTTAACATATTTAAAATATATATTCAAAGGGTAAATTACGGCTAATATAGAGTTTAATTCATGATTTGTAACACAAGTTAAACATTTTGCTCGCCTCTTTATTGGTGTTTACACTAATGAAGTTTTAATTACATATACCATAGAAGATAAATAAATAAAAATTTCAAGTAATTTATTTCTGGTGTAAAAAAGTATATATTAATTTTTCTTTTTTATTATTCATTATTCTATTATATAAATTTTAGTATAAACAAAAATAGATATGGCTACTGAAGACCATTCACATCATTTACTAGCTTTAATCCAAGGTATAGCAGCAGGTGCTACAAATGAGGATCTAGCTAAAGGTTTGCCAAATGTTGAAGCCTCAAAACGTGTCGAAGGCTTAAATAAATTACTACAACAAGGCACAATTGAAGTATTAAGGAAAGGTGAAAAACTTATATATCGTGCTAAAGATCCAAAGAAAGCCATATTGCCAAAAGATGCTGATAATGAAGAGAAAATTGTGTTTGGCATTATTGAAGAGGGTGGCAATAAAGGCATTTGGATACGTGATATACGTATACAATCAAATTTGAATATGACACAATTAAATAAAATATTAAAAAATCTGGAAACTAAAAAATTAATTAAAGCTGTTAAATCAGTAAATGTAAGTATGGCTTAAAAAGAAACAACGATGGTTTCTCTATGGAAAACCTTACATAGGTTATATATTATACATATTTTATTTTATGTAGGCAAGCAAAAAAAAAGTATATATGCTTTACAATCTGGAACCAGATCGTTCAATTACCGGAGGTGCTTGGTATCAGGATCAAGATTTTGAAGCAGAATTTGTGGATGTCTTAAACCAACAATGCCTGCGGTTTCTACAAATGAAAAGAGATAATGCTGACAAACGTGAAGGTCCGCTAGTATATAAAAATCTAACTTGCTGTACTGTTAAGGAAGTGCATAAATTTATATCAGATTTAGGTATAAGTAAGGTATGTATTTAATTTATTATAGAAATTATGAAATATTCATTTGATAAATCAAAATTTATTCTATATTTACTCTTGTTCGAATCACTTCTGTCGACGGGGTGATGTAATAATGATATGCTATGTTGAGAATTAATATTTTCTCTTGTAGGTTAATCTCGATGAAGATGATTTAGAAACAATTTTAAAAACAGTAGTCTATGATGGCAAAGCGGAACGGATATTGACGCAAGATGGTTCTTATATATATCGTGCTGTAAATTCCCCTTTAGCACCACCAGGTCTGGTACAAATGCCTTGCGGTATTTGTCCGGTAATTAAGAATTGTTCAAAATGTGGAGATGTAACACCAACAAAATGTTTATATATGAAGGAATGGTTAGATTATTAATAATAATGTAATATATAGTAATTCACTTATAAATTAGGATAACTTTTATATGTGTTATAAATATACTGAAAAATATGTTAAATAGTTTCTTTTATTTTTTTTATATTGAAAAAATTAATAAAGTTGTCAATCATAAGCTATAGCTGATGAGTATGGAAATATATAATAACGACAATGATTTCTGCTGTTCTGCATACTATATGTATGTTATCATATACAAAAGTTTTTGAGATATGAATAAAATATGATGCGAAACTATGAAATCCTGGGGCTCCCACTTTTTGGGATTTACTGTGAGTTGTACTGATTTTAAAATTGTATGTGTATTTGTTTTTATAAATTCACATTGTTACCGAGTTAACAAATTACCGCGGCTTCAGATCTTATAATTTTTTCGGCATTCAGTAAAATATCTGTTATAGAATCTTAAATTTAATTTAAAAATTCATGTAATTAATAAACTTAGCAAAGAAGTATTAAAAGAAATAAAAAAATTAAATAATATAAGTTAATATAAATTTCATTATAATTTATATATATATAATATAATTATAAATATAATTTATATAATATAATATAATTTATATATATAATAAAATAAATGGAAACAAAAGCAGTTACTTTGGCAATTTCGTTCAACGACGTTTGTTATATTATCACTTTACCGAATATCGAAAGTCTGAATACTTCTAATAATATGATACATCGCTAACTTATAGTGACTTCGTTTGGTAAATCTGGCGCAATCTAGAATTACTCTAGATCTGTTAAATATTGTTGTCCAAAAGAACATTTTTAGAGTAATCTAAAATTTTATAGTTATGTTAAGTAGATACTTATATATTTCATAAATATATATATCGAATCAAACCACAGACTGTCGTCATATAAAACAGCTATTAATTTTAGTGTATTCTTGCTACTCTGGCAAAATATCTAGAGTGTTACAAATTAATCTCGAGTGTTATACATTAATCTCGAGTGTTATATAGATTTACCAATCGAAAATGAAAATTGCACTAAATGAGAATCTTAATTAAAAATGTTACTCCAGATTTATCAATCGAAAACGCCATTAAACTCTAGAATTACACATATAGATATGTTATTATTCTTATTTATGGAAAAGTTATATTATAAGTATTTTATATTTTCATTTTATTTATATATATATATATACATTTATATATATATATTTTTTTTAAATGAATTCATATATCTCAGTTACTAATTTAAATTGAAATTCAAATAATTTTGTTTTCGTTGTGTAAACCCTGTTTGAGTGCAGATTGAGTTCCACTCAAACGAATACGTGGCTGTCAAACGAATTTCAGATTACTAACGAAAATATAATAAATGGAAAAAAATTTAATACAATTATAATAATAAACATATTTACTATATTGTACACAGTAAATAAATATCAAAAATTATATATAATATAAAAAGTATAATAAACTAATTTGTACTAAACGAATTGATTGAAGTTATGTTTGGGTGGAGGCCACTGAACCGATCAGATTAGTATAACACCGTGGCAAGATAAACAAAAGTAAAAGTTTAAAAATTTAATACAAAATGGGTTTGTGCAAATGTCCCAAGAGGCAAGTAACAAATCAATTCTGTTTTGAACATCGCGTCAATGTCTGTGAACATTGTATGGTGCAAAGTCATCCAAAGGTTTGTTTTACTAAAATATTTAAAGTTATTAATTAAAAAACTAAATTTTTAACCAATTTATTGTTGTTATCTTCCTCTTAGTGCATAGTGCAATCATATTTGCAGTGGTTACGCGATAGTGATTATATCAGTTCTTGTACTTTGTGTAATACATCACTGGAACAGGGCGATTGTGTGCGTCTAATTTGTTACCGTGAGTGAGAAAGGTTAACTAAAAAAGTGCTATATAATATTAAAATAAATTGTTTATAATATATAGATGTATTTCATTGGGATTGTCTTAATGCACGACAATCGGCTTTGCCAGCGAATACAGCGCCTAGAGGACATCTCTGCCCAACGTGCGATAGCGAAATTTTTCCAACATCAAATTTAGTTTCCCCTGTAGCTGATGCGTTAAAAGCGTATTTGTCACAAGCGAATTGGGGACGAAACGGTCTAGGTTTAGCTTTGGTAAATATTTTGTTTTATAAGTTTTATTTTTATTATTTATATAATACTAAGTTCGAACCGAGAGGTAATCTTAGATTTATTCACGTTATTGATCTATCCATGCTTTATGTTATCTTATTTATATCAATATTAATATAATAGTTCTTTTAACCCGAAGAGACAAAAAAGAGGATAACAGTTTTTACTATCGAAAGATGACAGGCTACAGCCGCTTCTATAATCATATCATAATTTTAAAGTCAGTTTTATTTTTTTAAGAACATTAACTTTTATTTCAAGCGTAAATCTTTTGTAAATTTCTATACGTATTTCGGCAAATTCGCTTTTGCCTTCATCAGGAGAATTCATAAGAATCAGTAGAATATTTGGAATACTATAAGGTATACTATATATATTTGCTGACATAGTCCGCTTGAGAATTTTGTGTGGCACTTGTAGTTAATAAGTGTATCTAGAACGTAGACTGTGCCGGCCCTGTAACCTTTTCTATTCATGTAATTTCTTTTATTTATTCTGCTATCCAAAGAGTTAATCATTTTTTAATTATGCTTTGTAATTATCCAAAAAGCTCAGTGAAAACTACTTTGAACAATCACTGGTGCTCCATGATATATTAGAAATGAAAGTATCCACCGAGATCGACAAATTCTAAAGTTGAATTTGACAATATACGGAAAAAAATACAATAAAAGGGTGACAGAACATGTCAACCCCTTAGCTAGGATTCTTGTACTTCTATCTATTACTTCGCGCCTAAAAAGAGCTGACCAGCTATTACTTAATATTCAATAGTTTCAAGTAAAAACACGAATCTTCGTTTTAGTAATCTGATAAAGATTCATTGCCTTCTTAATAAACCATCTAATATTCACTCCAATGAAATTTAATCCATTGATTGAAGTGAGATCCGTGATATAAAGTTTGTTTATTTTATTTTATATTATACAATGTGTAGTTAAAATAAAAAATATAATATTATGTAATTAGTGATAAGATTTTAAAACTTATTGTTAGTCTCCTTGCAAGAGAAGATGCAATAAATAATTAAATAAGTATTTAAAAAAAATATCCTACTACGTAGATCTTAAGCTACAATATAAACAGTAACTGTTTAATAATGAAATAGGAAATCAACTTCTATCGAAGCCTATAACAAAGTACTTAATTGCCACGTTCCAGAAAATTTAATTTTTAATCAATGATAATTACTCAGGGGATTATCAGAACATTTATTTATTTAAGATTAATTTTTTAATTTTTGAATATTTCACACTTGAATTAAAAAAATATTTTGATATTTAATAATATTGTATTTATATGTTTATATAATATATACAGCATAAAATAAATAATTAGTGTCAGAAAATAATTAATATAAATTTAATTAATTAATATATTAAGAAACATTTAATAAATCTTAAATATAATTAAATTTTTTACAGTTACCAGAAGACTATTCATCTACCGCTAAGTCTTCAGCATCGGTGAGCAGTAGCAAAGTTAATACGCATGCACCTGTCACTGCTGCGGTTAGTAGCATGACCAAGGTGCATAGCAAGTCAAATGGTGTTTTCCCTACAGCCGCAATGAAACATGAGAATCCACATTCCGTTCTTCTAATGGATGCGTTTAGTCCACCAACAGCAAACGATGTTCAAGGTACATAAAAGATAATTTTGAACCATTGCTTCACATATTTGCATTAGAAAATTTAATTTGTTTAATTTTTTTTAATTATAGCTAGCAGCAGAAGACCTCTATTACCACGTCAGCCACCAATTGGTGGCACCGATAGAGATGAAAACAAATACAAAAGACGTACACCAGCAGAAATATTTGCTCGCTGGTCAAGGCGTTTCTATGCACCATCATCACGTCCGCCCTGGCGACGTACGTGGTTCTTAGTGCTCAGCGGTATAACAGCATTTATTGTGATCATTTATATAATGGCTGTACTTGGTCGCAGTGGTTCTGATGATGCATTAGGCGATACTTGGAATAATCCAAATCCTAATCCTAAACATTATGAATGAATGGAATGGAAAGACAAAATTATATATAAATAAAAACGACAACTCGATATTGATGTGGCATTTAATTTTTTATTCATTTGCCCAACCACTAAAACAAAAAAAAGAATTCTGATGCTGTTTTTAAAACACTAAATCTATGCAGCACGCAGTTACAGCGTTTATAACGAATTATTTATCAAATTTTATTTTAAAGCTAAGTAACTAACTAAAATACTTATATAAACTTATTATTATAAAATATATTGTATATGTTATTAAAAATCACGAATCATTGTTTAGTGTGACCATTGGTAGTTACCGAGACGATACTTGGTGATGGTAGCGGCTCATAAGTTGGCATAGCACAAAAGTTTACTGTCAGCCAATCAACAATTGGTGTAGGACAAATGCGAAATAGTACGCGATATAGTTTATAACTAAAACGGAATTTTGTTTTTTATGAAAAAAAAAAAAATTTTAAATGTTAATAGAAATTTATAGCTTACCGCCATGGTTCATGTATGTATAAAGCCTTTGGATTTGTATTTGTTAGCGCTTCTTGGAATTTTAATAATAACGCTTCATCCTGCACTTGATTGGGGGCCTTAAAACCGGACAGTATTTTTAAGTAATCATTGAACTTTTTGAAATAACTGCCATAAAACACTCGTTGTTCGGCTGTGAAGTCTTCCCACATATGTTCTGCGTGTTGTTGTTGTCTA